ACAATTTACTCAACAAATGTCTATAACCTTCCTTAATCGAAAACAATATTAATGTTAATGACTAATGTTTTCATTAATCATTAACATTAATATTAAGGGTCCCCCCCCCCCTCAAAAGACGATCTCAACCCAGGTAAGTTCAAATGGGCTGAAATTTGGAGCATATGTTGTGGCTGAAGTGAGGAGGCTGTGGTAAAATTTTCAGCTCGATACCCTGACATTTGACAGAGATATGAACCAAACAACGGTCAAAAAATAGCTCATCTCATCTCCAAGAATTCTCTGTGGACCCTCATTATATGTATATATAATTTTTTTTTGTTTCAAAGCTTGTCTCTAGGGCTAGCCCCTCTCGTGGCCCTTTTTTTTAAATTCATACTTTTTAAGCGAAAGAAAGGGATGACAAGTTCAATGACTCCAAAAATCCCGAAAAAATAGTGCTTTTTCTATAGAGATGGCTTCTGATATAATAATAAAAGGGCTTATTTTAAAAAAAGGGCCACGAGAGGGGCTAGCCCCAAACACGAGCTTTCAAACAAAAAAAAAACATTTGACTTTATACCGGATTATAGTTGACTTTCGCTGGAGATGCGTCATTCGACCACCATTTTGAGAAAAAGCGAAAAAGATTTTTGGATTTTTTTGAAAAACCAGCGGTTTTTCGAATAGGGATCGTCAAAAATATTGAAAATTTTTCGGGAAAAAGGAGGTATCGAAGAAAAGTTTTCATCGTTTATGAAAGAGCAAATGACAGGCTATCTCCCCATATATTTATCTCAACCTTGGCCATTCTGACGAAAAGTAAGTTTTTTAAGGGAGGGGATCCCTTTAATGTTAATGTTTTTCATTAATCATTAATATTAATGTTAATGATTAATGTTTTCTTGGAAAAACTTAATTCATTAATATTAATATTAATGGTTAATGAAACACATTAATTAATGTCATTAATTAGGTCCCGTTAAATTAAATGGCCCACCCCTAATATAGATGACAAAGTAAAACTTTGTCAAAATTAATGTTTATGATCAAGTTGTTATCTATGTCATCATTGTAAAAAAAAAAAAAGAAACAGATTTAATCCTTTTTATTTTAAAAGGAAAGAAAAGCTGAATTTTAAAATTGTTCAAGTGTTTTTACACAAGAGAAAGAACACTTTGTTTTACTATTTTAAAACGTATATAGTAAAGTTGTTTTGTATTTTAGAATTCATCAATTTTGAGTTACCAACTATGATGGAGGTATGTTCACATTTCCAAAAAAGAAAATTACCCAAATTTCTGAAATTTCTATCAGCTCGATAGTTATATAGTAGTACAAATCAAAGATTTTTATACATATTGGAAATTTCAAAAATTTTAGAAATTTCGGAAATGACATCATTTTAGGAAGTAACGTAAAATTCAGAACACAAATGCTTGAAATCTTCGAAACTTATGAAGTTTCCTTTTTCGGAAATCCGAACACTGCTGCTATGATGGTAACCACTTTCTACAATCATTGAGGTTAATGGAACGATCAAAATGAACTGAAGAATTATGTACTATGAGCAGATAGAGTACGCTAGTTGATGATATGAATTGATTTATTTCTCTTTTCGTTGGTTGATATACCACCATTAAACATAAAATGTTTGATGCTTACGACGAACATGATTCATAAATAAAACAAGATATGGTATAAAAACTAATTCAAGTGTAATAATGATTCTTTCTCTTTATGATCGAATGGTTATTTCCAAAGAATGCGTAGGACAAACATCATGAATGGGGTTTTTTCTTTAATTTTTCAAATATTGTATTATTTTCTCCTTATTTCCTTAATTTTTTTTAATGTCTCATATTATAATATTAAGAATAGAATATACCTTTTTTTAGATACATTAAACATCATATGGATATATATTGATATATTATATTATTTAGTAGTATAGAATATAAATATGGCTAAAGCCTATGATTATTTATTTAAATTACTTTTAATTGGTATGCAAAATTTTATTTTGTTTTTTTTTTCTTTTTTCCTATGAATATTTAATTTATAATATTTGTTTTTTTGTTTAGGTGATAGTGGAGTTGGGAAGGTATGTTTGACATTTCGAAAATTGTTTTTTTGTTTTTTTGTATCTATATATATATATATAAATATATAGACATGTGTGCTTTTGCGTTTCTGTGATTCAGCATTTAGCACAACATTTATTTCAACTATTGGTAAATTTATTTATAATTTAAAATAATTGATGATAGTTGTTGTTTTTTATTTGTAAATAGGAATTGATTTTAAAATTCGTACAATTGAACTTGATGGACGAAAAATTAAATTACAAATTTGGTACGTTTAAAAAACAAAAATTGAAAAAAAAAAACAAACAAATTATTTAACTTTTTCTTTTATAGGGATACTGCCGGTCAAGTATGTATATTTTATTTGAAAACAAAAAATTTTCAATATATATTATTTATCTAGGAACGTTTTAAAACTATAACAACAGCTTATTATCGAGGAGCAATGGTATAATAATAAGGAAATATATTATTAAAAAAATTAAATTATATTTATTTAGGGTATAATGCTTGTATATGATATAACAAGTGAAAAAAGTTTTGATAATATTAAAAATTGGATTCGTAATATTCAAGAAGTATAAATAAATTTATTAATAAATATATATATTTTCTTTATATAAAATTATTTAGCATGCATCGGCTGAAGTTGAACGAATGCTTATAGGAAATAAATGTGACATGCTAGATAAACGACAAGTTACTCGAGAAAAGGGTGAAAATGTATGTAAAATTTATAGAATTTTAACACGCTTTTTTTTCTTCTTCTCACAATGATGAATCGAGGATTCATATGAATAGTGACAATTTTTTCGAAGTATTAACATATGAGTTGAATGCACTTGATTCAAGATCGGTTTTTTTTGAGGTCGAAGCTCTTAAATAGAGTATCCTTCAGAATTACAAAACAAAAGCAATTCGTGCAATTCCTGAGGGATTACAATATGAAACACGATGTAGCCGTTGTTAACTAATCGTGAGAAGATTGTTTTATTTTGTCTATCTTGGGATATATTTCTTCGTTCTCTTTTTACTTAATCTTCCAGAAATACAATAAGGAATTAGTTAATATATTATGACGAACTGTTATTAATACACGGTTTGTGATTGTGTATCAACAATGTTTGTCACGTTCTGTAGCGGGTACAAAATTCTATTCTATATACTTCGACGTTCCTTTTAGATTATGAAGTACGAGCTCTACTAGGTTTGTTTAGTCTTACTGAGACTTTTTTTTTTGTAGGTCCATTATAAGTTAAGACGGCGGGTAATAGTTGAAGTAGTTTCTTCATCAGATTTTTCTTGTTCAAGTCAAATCTACAGCGCTATTTTATTTTAAGTCCTTTAAAGTTCTGTTTATTTTTGGATTAATCATCAATTAATGAGAGCAATGATCAATAGCTTTTACTTATCAGATGGTTGTACATTAATAATCACATTTGATATCTCTTTGCAATTTTTCCCGATTTCAAAATTTTAATTTCTTTTGTTAAAAGATTTATTAGATAAACTATCATCAGGAAAAGAACACTCGAAATAAAGAAAAGTAAAATGCTTTTCTCTTTTTTTGAATATTTCCAATGTATTAAAGACTTCATTTTAGACTCATTCAATAGAGAATCCCTGTCGTGAGTCCCTGGAGAAGTTAAGAGGGAATTCAAGGACTTCGCGGAGATTTCCTAGGGACTCTCCAGGGAATTGATGAGTATCATCAGGATCTCCCCAGAAGCCACCATTGAAATTCTCTGAAGAATTCAAATTTGTGAAAATTTCAGAGGGACTCCTCGGAGAGTTTTAGGGGGATCATGAGATATGCAACTCCCCCCCAGCGACTCGTGACAGGGATTTCGTATTTTTCAGGAGACTCCGCGGCGATTTCGTTGGAGAGAGAGTCGACTAGGAATTTCCTGCTTTACAAAACTACTTTCTTGGTTTTTCAAATAATATTATTTTTTAGGTAAAAAATTTTATAGCTTTTAGTATATATGTTTCAAAATTTTAGAAGAAATATACGTGAGAGAAATTTTTGAATTGAAAAAATCTTTTTCTGGATAATTGACTTTTTTTTTAATTCAACATAATATTTTGTTCAGAATTAAATTCTATACCCAGCGATATGAGAATAAACGTATCATAGGTCAAGTTTCACTTTGAAAAGTATGGTTGTTCAGAATATCATTAAGTATTGTTTCAAAACTTTTGTATTCTGTACAACAGGAATAGAAGACTCGTTATAAACGTTCATTTCTCTTCACTCATTACTATTTTCATCGGATTCAGCTGAATATACAGTAAATACGTAAAATTCTATAACATTGAACGACAAGGTCAAATATCAAAACGTGTTATTTCTTTATATCTATTATAAAAATCTCAGTTCAATTGTTTAAAATTACACGAGAATCTTAAGTAGCCATAAGAATTTAGGGAAAAAATTATTATAAATTTAAAATATATCACTTTGTTATATACAAAAAAAAAACATATTCTTTTCTTTAGCTTGCTAATGAATATGGCATTAAATTTATGGAAACTAGTGCTAAAGGAAATATTGTAAGTATTATATAGTAAATATTTTATATATATATATATATATAAATAATTATTATAGAATGTAGATGAAGCATTTTTTTCTCTTGCCAAAGATATCAAAGCAAAAATTGATAAACGAGCTGTAAGAATTTTCGATATTTTTTTTTCTGAATATTCTTTTTTTTACAAAAAAATTTTATAGGCTATTGATCCATTGGGTAAACCAGCAGTAATAAAGCCAAAATTAGATCCACATAAAAAAGTTAGTACATCGTTTTGGTCTCGTTGTTCATTATTTTAAAGTGCACAATCAAAAAAAAACAACAACAAAACTTGTCATTGCTTATTTTTCATGGTGCTGATCGTTGACCTATTTATCAAAGTCATTGAATGAGACGTCTGACGGCTAACGATTACTCTCACGGCGAGATTTTTTTTTTTTTGTTCTTTTAATACTGATCAATCATCCATTTTGTAAATCAAATTCTTCATTCTTTATTTCGTTTGTTATCCATTCAAACATATGTTCTTACTTTTTTTTTTTGGGTGTCTTTATATCGTCTTTTTTCTTTTTTTTTTGTCTTCTTATGGAATAATAAAATAAAAGTACAAAGTCTCTATTGACGAACACTATTGACTTCCGAAATGACGACGATGTACAAATATATACATCACCTATTTCACTCTCTTTCTGATCGTCCCAACATGACATCCTGTGATTTTTTTTGTCGTGTTCTTTTTGTCTATTTATCTGAATACATATCTTTCTTCTCTTCCGATTGACGACATCGAAACGAAATCTTTTGATTAAATATATGACTGAATGTGTCCTCATTCGAAGTATTTCATTTACGTTTGTTCTCTATGTACACAAACGATGGATCATATAGTGAACTAGTTAATCGTACGCAACCATCATTTGTTAGATATAGTTTAGTTTATAATAAAAAACGATGGTTATTAAAATTGGTTCAGGAGAAATTGATGATTTATCAACATTAAATGTTCTTGATGAAGAAAGTTTATTACGTGAATTACGTGCTAGATATAAAAAAGGAATTATCTATGTAAGTTTTATATATTTCATTTTATTATTTTTAAAATTTCATTTTTGGAATAAATAGACTTATATTGGAGATGTTCTTATTGCTATAAATCCATTTAAACAATTAAATATTTATGAAAAACAGGTTTGTTTCTTATAACAAAAACTAAAAAAAAAAAACAACATTTTAATAAATAAAATAAACATATTCTAGCAACATGATTTATATAAATATGTTCAATATCGCAATCAATTAACACCTCATCTTTTTTGGGTTGCTGATCAAGCTTATCGAAAACTTTGTTTATCGAAAAGACCACAATGTATTGCTGTTTCGGGAGAAAGTGGAGCTGGTATATAATTAAAAGACAATTTATGAGAGAACCAAGAAACCGAGACACTAATCAAAATTCCAATCTTTTATATGCATTCGAAAGTCTATCATCTAAAACTATCAGACCCAAATTTTTAACTCTTTGGGATTGTTCTATAGCAAATTTCGGGTAGATCGACTTTTTATCACTATCTACTTATTATTCAGAAAATAATGATAAATTGTCGCATAAATATCTACTATGATTATACTTCAATACATTAGAGAATTTTCTCCTACAATATATATCAAAAGATAGAGTATGATAAGCTGAACAAAATGAGCTATTTCAAATATTGTATATTATCTATTTACTGGAATGATATAGTTTAACATGAGTGGAGTAGGTCGTAATTTATGTGACATTCGAAATTAATGTCAAAAACTACATTTAATCAAATAAATTTTAGAGAATTTTTTTTTCTGCGAAAAACTAACTCTTGGAGTATTGCGGGGACAAAATTTTAATTAAATTCAGTTGCGAGGAATTACAGATGATTTTTTCGTAGGAAAAAAATTCTCTAAAATGTATTTGACTAAATGTAGTTTTTGATGTTGATTCCGAATGTTACATAAATTATGATCTACTCCACTCATGTTGAACGACATTACCTCAATAAATAGATGATATACAATAATTGAAATAGCTCATTTTGTTCAACTTGTTATTCTCCATCTTTTTGTATGCTGCATGAAAAAAATTCTCTAACGTGTTGAAGTATAATTCCACTAGACATCTGGCCTCGAAACGGGCCGCTCGGCCCATCGAAATATTTTGTCGAGCCAGACGAGTCTAAACAATGTTCGAGCCATAAAAAAGTGGCTCGATTTCGAAGCCTGCTAGATATTTATGGAATAATTTATCATTATTATTTTCTGAATAATAGGTAGATAGTGCTAAAAGGTCGATCTCGGCTAACTTTACTATAGAACATCCAAATGAGCTAAAAATTTGGGTCTGATGGTTTTAGAAGATAGCCTTTCGAATGCATATGAAAAATTAAAATTTTGACTAATGTCTCGGTTCTTTGACCCTCTCATGAACTATCAATTACTTATTATATTTATATATTTTTTTCATATAGGAAAAACTGAATCAACAAAACTTATTGTTTCACATATAATTCATTGTTCAGGTGATGCTGGTGATCGTGAATTACAAAATCGAATTATTGAAGTTTGTATTGAAAATGAATTTGAATATTTTTTTTAGTATAATGTTTATAATTCTATAGACTTCACCATTACTTGAAGCATTTGGTAATGCTCAAACATGTATGAATCAAAATTCGAGTCGTTTTGGAAAATATCTTCAATTAAATTTTACGGATACAGGTCGAATTATTGGTGGTATAATTTTTTTTTTGTTTTTTGTTTTATTTTGAATAAAATGTTTCATTTGTCTTAAGCAAAAGTTTATGATTATTTACTTGAAAAATCTCGTGTTGTTCAACATGGTCCAGGTGAACGAACATTTCATTTTTTTTATTATTTATTTGCTGGTTTGGAAAAAGAAACATTAGAATATTTTTATTTGGATGATCCAGAAACTTATCGGTATGAAAATTTTTTTTTGTTTATATTTAATTAATATTTTTTTTTATGAATATTTATTTAGAATTTTAAAAGATCCATGTGGTGGAAAAGTATTTCCAAATCGATCAGATTTTAAACATTGTCGACAAATGTTTAATACACACAAAGATATTATGCAACGAGTTGGATTTACTAATGAAGTAAAATTTATTTTTTGAAGAAATTTTGATTCTGAAAAAAAAAAATAATTTCAAATTTTTTCTAGGATATTAATATGGTATTTACAATTCTTTCAGCTATTCTTCATTTGACTAATATTCGATTTTCACATGATGACGAAACAGATGGAGTTTATATTGAAGATGAATATCCATTAGAAGTTGGTAAGTTATCTTATTATTATGGTATTAATCCTTTATTCTCTGACACTCATAGAGTAGAACTGTTGTTGAATCAACTATGGGAATAGTTTGAGCCAGTACTAATTATTACATATGAGTATAGTTAAATTTGAGCGAAGTTATTTCACTGTGAAGATGCAGAATGGATTCATTCGTCTTGAATGACATAAAAATTGGATTTGTTATTAATTTGATTTTTTTTAACGACTTTTCGCATTTATGTTGTTTTTTGACTTGTATAAAGCTGGAAATCCTCTCTAGTCAAAGATCATTTTTTGAAAAATGACTCATTTCGAAGAATCTGTAAAGACTGACTTGGATGATTTTTGTTCTGGTTGATAAGCTCAGTAATATGCACAGTTGTACGGAACCAAGCGATGCAGCTCGGGATTGATGGCTCCAATTGAAGCATTTCAACTGTGAAATTCAAATAGTAATATTTGTCTACTGACACATGATGCCATCTCTCGAAATGCAATTTACTAATCGAAACGCTACAACTATAGTGTGATCTAAACTCATACTGCTCGACACTACACCATTTTGCTGAACGGAACTCTAGAACTGTAGTTTGATCTAAATGTGTGCAATTAATAAGTATCAGCGGCCGATTCGGGTCACAAAAATTTGACTCATGTTGGACACTGATAAATACTTTTTAATGAAAATACATACGTCTAAGAGGTGTGCAGTGCACCGAGTATTCATAAAAATAAAGCTTTTTGTGAGAATTATTGAGAAGAATTTCGGATTGGACCAAAATTCTTACTTCCCTTGTATATCAGATCTAGAGATGTGAAAGAAAATGGCGCTTATAGCCCCCCTCCTCTCCTGCAGATTTTTTTTCGTACAAATACTTTTTGATTGTGGGTAGTATGAAGATGTAAAATCACCCAACCAGATCTTGGACATTTTTTGTCTTAGCAAAAAAATCAATATTTTAGAGAACGGTCATTTATATAGGAAAGCACTAGAAAATAGAGAGTACTTAGACGTTTCTGTAGTCGAAAGTTGATTTTTATGTAAAAATGAGTATGATATTCAGAATCAGCATGAAAAATTACACTAGACAGTCTATTTTTCATTGTAAAATATTTTCCATGAAAATTTGACCTGTAGGCGACCAGGAGGAAAAATCGCATGGATAAAAGGTTGAGGGAGGAGTAAGGGTCAGATTCCCATGGAAAATATTTAACAACAAAAAATAGATTGTCTAGTGTAATTTTTCATGCTGGTTCTGAATATCATACTCATTTTTACATAAAAACCAACTTTTGACTAGAGAAACCTCTAAATACTCCTTATTTTCTAGTACTTTCCTATATAAATGACCGGTCTCTAAAATATTGATTTTTTTGCTAACACTAAAAATGTCCAAGCTCTGGTTGGATGATTTTACGTCTTCATACTACCCATACTTAAAAAATATTAAAACGAAAAGGAACCTTGCGGGAGAGAGGTATAGCCTATGGAAAAAGCGTCACTTCCTTTTGCATGCAATCCTAAATGTGTCTATGCATTAAAACAGAATATTTGACTTCAATAATCAACTTTGAGAAGAGCCGATCGAAAAAACAAAAAAACTATTTTAATGTCTCATATGCTTTTCAAACTTGCAAGCACTATATCTGACCTCTTATCTTTCATTCTAAATATTTTTTTTAAACCAGAATTAATCGTTATTTCTATATTTCTAGTTTGTAATTTACTTGTACTTGATCAAGAAATGTTAACTATGGCTCTTATTTCGACATTCAATATGACTAAAGGTTATATATAATTAATATTTATAGAAATTTTATCATTATATAAAAATGATTTTCATAGGTGAACGTGTAATAAGTTTAAAAAATTTTGATCAAGCAAATGATTGTCGTGATGCACTTGCTAAAGCTTTATATGAACGTTTATTTTCATGGATTGTTAAACAAATCAATACACTTTTACAACCAAGTCGACGGTAATAATTTACTTTTAAATATTTATTAACAAAAAGTTGTTGGTATTTTTTTGTTCTGTATTTTATTAAATAGATATAATCAAATATATGATAAAATTTATCGTACATGTTCAATATTAGATATGTCTGGTTTTGAAAATTTTCAAGTGAATAGTTTTGAACAATTATGTATCAATGTTGCTAATGAACATCTACAGTATTATTTTAATGAACACATTTTTTTAAAAGAAGAACAAGATTATCGAACTGAAGGTGTATCATGTGAAAAAGTTGAATTTCAAAGTAATGAAGATTTAATTGAATTATTTATGGGTGTAAGTTTAATTATAGAAAAACAAAAAAAAAAAATTCTTTTTTTTGTTTTGATTATTTTTATCAAATAGACATTAGGTATATTTGCATTACTTGATGAAGAATCTCGTTTTCCAAAAGCAAATGATGAATCACTTGTACAAAAATTTCATAGTCATTGTAAAAATCATTCAAGATATATTAAACCAAGAGGCAATGAAACAGCTTTTGGTATTCATCACTATGCTGGAAAAGTATTGAAAAAAAGAACAGCAAATTTTTTTTTTTTTGAAATGCAATATTGTTTCTTTGTGTATAGGTTGTTTATGATGCTCGTGGATTTTTAGAAAAAAATCGAGATAATCTAAGTGCAAATTTAATTGAATGTATGGGAAAAAGTGGAATTGAATTAATTAGTCATTTATTTACTATGACAGATGGAATATGTCATTCATCGGATATTGCAATATCATCAATGTAAGTAAAACTAAATCGCATATAATTACTAAATTAAATAACAAAAGAAAGATAAATAAAACAACCCTAATATATCAATCGATCAATACTGAATTAGATCATTATAATTTTTCACTTTGCTATAATAATAGGTGTGTGAACTAGATAGGGACTAGAGAGGACTCAGCTTTTCTCTCCTCCTACGGCATGGTCAAGAAGCTGAGCTTCTGACTTCTCCTCCTATAATTTTTTCCTGGCTACGCCACTATGTGATACTTGCATATCGCCTATCAAACTCTTTTGTCAACCACGATCTAAAAAGAGTGCTGAAGTATATAGGATAGAAATTCTCATCCTCCATTCCATCACACAATGCATCTCAAAATAGATAGAATGAAACAATCTGCATGTGATTCGCAACAGTACGTACATCGTGTTTCACATTTTAATCCCGTAGAGATTGTGCTAACAGTTTTTTTAAATAGGAGTTTGGATTTCTTAAAAACCTGATTTTATCTTACACAATATATTTGTGTAACAGTCTTATTTCGGCTCATTTGATCTTAGATGAACTGATGGCAAACCAATGGGATATTCAATAACCCAGCTTGTCACTGGATTCCAGTCATTAAAAGAAACCAACTGATTACCAGCTGTATGCTTCGGTTTTAACGAGCCATTGAGTTGCGAGCTATTACATACCTATACCAGTGTCCGACTCGGATCGGTTAACAAAAAATTAATTGATTTCGAGTTTCACATAAAATAAACAGTAATTTGAGATGTGATAATGATTTCTTTACTCTGATTATTGAGAGAGCATTTATAGATTCAGTAAGAGGTACTTAATCTCTATAGAAATTTTGCTTCGATTGTCTGAAAATTATCTGTCGACCTTGGGTCGGGTCACAAAAAAAGTGATCCATGTCGGACACTGACCTATACGAAACAAGACAAATCAATGAGACGATCAAATGCAATATCCGTCCTGCACGTTTGTTCGCACTACCATAGGTATAATTATCGACAGTCGGACAACAACTATCGGTATACCGGTGGTTTGAATCATACGAGTACCCGGTGGAATGTGAAAGCTCATAAAATGTGTGTGTACATACATGAACCTGTTATGACTTGGTATGTGCAAAAAACGCATCACACAGTAAACTATACTTACGTTTATATGCATGAAATTTTTCGCATGTACATAGCTAATATTGTCGCTGCAGGTATAAGACAATTTAAGAATGACCAAAAAATGAAGTACATGTAGTAAACATACATGCTTTGCTTTATAAGACAAACTTTTTCATTAATCGACCAACTAACTTACATAAGAGGTTCAATCAAAACTGAAGAATACACTGCTCATTTAATAATTACTAGGCATATGTCATTATGAATACTAATAACTAATATATACACGCCGAAGGAAAAAAAGAACTCTATTTGTTGCATAGAGTAACTTGCACACAACGAAGTAGCGTAAATTTATATATTGACATAGAATTGCTTTTTTAATACGACCTTTTTACATTGATATGCAGAGTTCTAGTGATCTTGCAAGTGCACGCTAATGACATATTGACATTTCTATACGAGTCATATATCTTTCATGCAACTATTTGCAAAGATATGAGTTATATGCACAATTTTGCATGTTTTACTTGAAAACTTCAAAAAAAAAATCTGCATATACTATTGTCTTGTATCTATGTGCAACAAAGCACTACATCTTCATGCATAAAATATGATAACTTGAAAATTATTTTGCAAGTACACATGTTTTTCGAATTTTTGAATTTGATTGGATAATGAGAATTGATTTTTTTTGGGAACAAAATATTTGGTCAGTAAAATAGATGAAATGGTCAGTAAATGAAATAAATACAAAATCAGCAAATTGAGTGATTGATCAGTAAATCGATTGAATGGTCAGTAAATAATTTAAATGGTCAGTTAGTGATGATTTAGGTTTTGTTAATAAATTTAAAGGTCAGTAAATAAAATTTATTAACAGTTAAATAAATTAAAGAGCAAGTATAAAAATTAAAATGCGCTATAGTATAATTCATTTTTTTCTTCTTTCCTTCTATTCTTGTACTGTACAGTACAGATGTTACTTCGATCCCATATATACTCTTTACTCCTATCCTTTTCCTCCACTGCAACTTAGTGTAAACAAGTGAAAGAGATGGAGGCAATACAAGTTGCTCAATATGAAAGTGATGCATCAGATGAAGAGATTGTAGAAGAAAATTATGACACAAATGGAAATGAAAGATCTTCCAAAAAAAGAAAACCAAAATGTTGGGTTAATGAAAATACATTTGATAATGCTGGTGAAGCAGAAGCATCAATTGGAAATGAACGGTCAAAACATTACACGAACTATACAGAAAATAGAAAAGTAGTTTATTATAGATGTGACAAAGCCAAACGTCGTGGATCTCAATGTGAAGCACGTATTTATTTACTGTATCATGCAGATAGTGATAAAGTTACTGTATGTAAAACCGAAGTTGAACATGGTAATCACCATGATAAACTTCGTGGTGTTGATAGAAATGTAAAAAAATGCATACAAGAATAATATAATGATGATGTAATGAAACCAAAACAAATTATTCGAGCACTACAAGCAAGAAATGTAAAGATACCAACAATGATTCAGCTTAAAAATTATCTTGTCCAGTGCAAAAAAAAGAAATATGGTACATATATAATTAGTTTAAATGAATCTGAAGAATGGTGTAAAAATAATTTAAACATCCCAACTGATCCAAATAAGCCTTTTGTTGTATCACATAAAATATTATATAATGATGAAGTATATGAAGATGATCAAGATATTGAAGATGATGGTGAAAATAAATTCCGTATATTTATATCTTTCATATGTTTGCTCAATATTGCATCCACGTCTTCACATATACATGCGAATGCAACACATAAATTAGTATGGCAAGGTTATCCAGTTTTAATTGTTGAAACAACTGATTTAAATAAATCTTTTCATCCGTTTGGATTAGCAACATGTTCGAATGGAAAAACAGAAGATTTTGAAATTATTTTTAATAGTATACAAATTGGTATGCAAGTAATAAATAAAGATTTATTAAAACCAACAGCATCAATCTCTGATGCTGCTGACGCTATTAAAAATGGATTTAGAAATGTATTTAATAATGAATATAATCAAATAATGTGTTGGGCACATATGAAAAGAAAAGTTGAACATCGTATATGTCAAATAAATGACAAAGATATTAGAAAAGAAATAATGGAAGATATTGAGATGCTTCAATTATCCAATTCTGTACCTGTCTCTATATTAGCATCAACATTATTTATTAAAAAATGGAATATGAACAACAAGCAACAAAACCGATCAATATTAGATTTTTTAGAATATTTTGATAAAGAATGGTTTCAATCGAATGATGGTTGATATGAAGGTGTACAATTTTATACACCAAGTACAAACAATGCCCTAGAGGCAACCAGCAAAACAATTAAAGATGATGGAACATTTCGAGAACGTCATGTTTTATCAAGATTTTTAACAATAACTACAAACATTATCAATAACTGGTCAGTTGAACTAGATGCATCCTCAATAAATGCAAAAATATTCGCTACAGAGCCAACAATATCTTTACAATTATGGACTTTATCCTATCAATGGGCTAAATCAATAAAAGATATAATTTGTATTGAAAATAGTGATTCAAAACAGTATTATATACCTGCCCGTGATTTACAATCGATTACACAAGCTGATTTATACAAATATAAAAATAGAAAATTGTCAAATTTTAATCAATTCAAAAAATCATTTGATATTTGGTGTATGGAATTAGATAATAGTTCATCTTGGAAAATATCAAAATGCAATTATCCAGCTTTTTTTAAGAACTATATATGTAAACACATCGTTAGTATGGCTATTCATCTAAAATATTACAAACCACTACCAGCAGCAAAAACAGTTCCCCTCAGCGAGAAAAGAAAAGAGGTAGACCAGCAAAGACTAAAACTGCTTTGCTCATACAATAATTTAAGTTTCATCTTCTTTGTTTTCTTTCATTCTGTAAATTTTTATTTAATGTTGTATTGCCATTTCTTTTTATTTATTCGATATTTTTTAAAATTATTTTCCTTAGACTAAACTGTTCTTTATATGGATAAAAAAAAAATTTCTACTGATAAAATTTCTATTTTTCACTGACCAAATTTCTATTTTTTACTGATCGAATTTCTTTTTTTTTACTGATATAAAATGTATTTTGTACTGCTAATTGTATACAATAAACTGACCATTTCGCAATTAAATACTGCTAATTCTAATACTGATCATTTAATTTTTATACTGACCATTTCATCTATTTTACTGACCATTTAAATCGTAACCATTTTTTTTTTATTCAATATTTCTAATTTTTAACTTTCGATTAAAAGTAAAATTTTAAGTATTGATTCTATGAGATGATTTTTTTTTTCTTCTTTATTTGTTTGATATAAATGATTTTTATTATAAAGCATTTTTCTTAATCCCAAAAGAGTGTCCTTTAAAAACTGTGTAAACGAAAATCCTTGATCATATCTTTTTCATAACGGAAGTAAATATAAATAATATTTTTTCTTTTTCATATTCTTTTTATTTAATACACGAATCAAGGACTTGTTTTTTTCTTCCATCATAATTTTATATTTTTAGTTTGCCATTTCAAATGTCAGATAACAATAAAAAATCTCAATTAACTTCATTATATAAAACTCGTCGTCCAAAATCATATGAAATTGAACGTACAAAAGAAAATTTAAGTCAAAAAGCTGCTAAATCACTTCGATATGATTTGTACGTGTTAAAAAACTTTTTTTGTTCATAAAAATAATGCTTTTTTTGTTTTATTTTAGAAAATCATTTAATAAAACTAATACAATTCCAAAAGAACGTTTTAGTCAAAATACTGTTGCACTTCATTTTAAAGTATCTCTTAGTGAATTACTTGATAGAATGAAAGATGCTGAACCATCATTTGTCAGGTACGTGGGTCAATAATGTAAATGTCACATTTACATTGAATCGACGAATGTGTTGAAAGGATTCGCGGATTTTTTTTTCTCTTCTCATTTGTTTATACAGATTTTTTTTTCTTTCCTATCTATCGATCTCCATTGTCCCGTCGGTTAAGATTACTCAACATACTTCCAAACTCGTTTTGTCTACTTGTTGTATTTGTACTGTTGTCACCTTCGTTCGTGACATAGACAAACACAAATGAGAACGAGAAAAAAAAAAGAAGATTTTTTTCGATGTATTTGTGTGTATATATATATATATATATATGTGTATTTATCTCACCATTTGATGACGAAAAGAAAGAGAGACCTAGACGAAAGACTAATGGGAAGTACAAAGTAAACAAAAAAAACGAGTGCGAAAAGTATAAAGGGTGACAAGATAAAATAAAATGAACGAGAAAAGAAGGAAGTTTATACATTATTTCTTTGTCGAACGCTAGAGGATTGTGTTTTGTGAATATAAAAAAAAAAGAATGATGAAGGACAGTTTTGTCTTTCAATCTTTATTTTGTATACAATTATTGTTATTCATTTAATGTCCTCGTAAAAATATTGTTCAAGCACGTAAGATCAAAATAACTCATCTTTTTTTGTTTTGTCGGCGTAATGTTATTAACATTTATGTATAACATGTATTAAATATATTATAAAACAATGTCGAGTCTGTAAATAATATTTAAAAGAAATGAATAGTTATGCGTTTCATTTTGTCTTCACCTTTATTTTTTTTTATCCGGTTGTTATGAGTTTCTTTTTTTTTTTTACTGACAATTGAATTTGCAATTCATCACAGAAGATCTTTATTTTTATAAATAGAAAGTTTTGATAATAAGAAGACGATTTTATTTGTAATGCGCTAGAGTGTGAATGATGCTGAGAATTGGTTTGATCGAGACCATTATAGAATTTTCGCTTGTTCGTAATGGTGTTAAACATTCCTCTCATATTTGATTAGAAAGAAAATATTTTACCTTCTTAACATAGTTCGATAACAGCTCGAATGTTAACTATCTCAGGCTAACTCTTACAGATCATAATTATGCATATACTGAGGAATCGTTGATTAAGATAAGATTTTTTTGTTTTCTCCTGAAAGAATGTTTGAGATTTTTATTATGAACAGTTCAACTTCGTCTCATCTAGACGTATGTACAACTGAACAGATCGATCACATCGGAAAAAGAATCTATGTTTAGATTAAAAGATTTCCAAAAGTGAATATTTTGAACGAGACTTGACCTTGTTTTCAAGATGAGACTCATATAGTCTTGAGGATTCTCGTAAGAGAATAAACATTATCTTTATCGTTAACTTCTCAGTCTTAATGCATACCTAAACATAATCTTTCTCATTACAAATTATAATTTAGTTTTATAAATGTATGTTTAATGAACTACTATTATGGTGCTATGTATGAATATTAATTGTAGAAGATTATATATTGAGCAATGTGTAAAATATTCATAGTAGAATAATTATTTTGATAGAGTTAGAAATAAAATATTTAAATAATTTGTATATATTTATTCATTGTGTCATTGTGTATTATTCAACATTCGATTTGAATCTTCTCTCTTTTTTTTTTTCTTTCGTAATCTTACATCATTATTATTCAAGGTAAATAGTTTTAAGATTCATTGGCTATTCATATAGATGATCGGGTCTGACGTCTTTAATTAATACTTATTTTGATAGACTAGCAAATATATATCATTTGTTGACTGTACAGATTAGAAAAAATTAGGTTTATTCTCTTTTGTTTTCTTCGTTATTATATGCTTGACTTTGTTGATTAGTTTTATATTCAATAAACGTTGCAATAGAGATAAAGAGAGAGAGAGAGAAAAAGTATATACGGTCAACGCGTTGTTTGTTTGTTTTTTTATTTATCTATCGATTAGTCTCAATCGTCGAGTAACTGTCTAGCTAAACGAAATCTATTGACATTCCACGATCGTTCTTTTTCTTTTTTTACTATTCTATTCATAATTGCTATCGTATTGTTTTGTTTTTTTTTTGTGTTCGTTTCTAATTGTACTGTAATGTCAGATTTTAACTTATTTTCATCAAAAACTGATATAAAAAAATTATTATTTACAACGGAAAAATTTAAATTTGATGAACAATGTTCAAATGATTCATGGCAAGATTTACCCGGTGTAACACCAACATCATTACTTGCATCATTTATTGATAATCAAAATATTCAAACATTATCATCATCACCATCATTATCCGATAATAGAAATGATTATGGTTGGGAAACTCTTGATGATTATTCAATAATACCAAAATCTTATGGTTTAAATTATGAACAATTATCAAATAAACCAACAAGTCATTGTCGACTTGATCGACGTGGACATTGGCTATTATTACCACCACCACCACCACCACCACCATCGCCGCCGCCGCCACCGCCACCGCCGCCACCATTACTTCATACAGATACAAATAAAATTGTAACATATTATGGCAAAAAATGTTTACCAAGAAATTCTAATCAAGAACAAATTGAACAAAATTTTCCTGATTCATATGAAAGTTTAGCTCTTTCAGTTGATTTTGATGTACCAGCAGATGAATTTGTTATTGATCATGATAATAGAATTCAAGAAAATATTCAACAATGGAAAAATAAAATACAACAATATGAAAATAAAACATCGAATGATATATACAAAAAATCGAGGTAGACTAAATTTATTTGTAATATTATATGATATCAATAATGAAACTATATTTTCAAAAAATGTGTATTTGTAAGACGTAATCTTTTTAACAGATATTTTCTTTCATTTGGTTACAACAGAAATTTATATTATAGAGTAATTCTTGTAAAGGTTTTTTTTTGTGTATTATAGTTTGACATGAATAGTTCACGATACTTTTTTTTTTAATCATATTGAGTATATATTAAGAATCGAAAATAGTTAAGTACCTTTTCGTTATTGTCGATAAGCTTATTTGAATGATAGAAATCATATAGTTTTTATAGAGCATAGAATTCTCTATAGCATAAGAGTAAAATAAGATCATAAGATAGATAAATAATTAAAATAAATTGTAATCTTCTATAATTTCAATTGAAGATTTTATAGTTCGTTCTATGAAAAATGAATCTTTCAATATTTTAATGATATTTCTTTTATATTATTTGTTTGTTCAGATTTTAGACTTGCCTTTTAATTCTCTATAAAATGGTATAATAACAATTAATGTAAATAACATCCATCATTTTTCGAGACGTGCTTCAAACGAACAGTTCAAGATAAACAATCATTTAATATAACTTTTTGTCAATTTAATGAAACATAATCTAAAAAGAGGATTGAAGTATAGAAGTAAAATAGATAAAATAAAACAGTCTCTTGTAATTAGCACTAACAGCTTGTATGGTTCAGTTTTTGTAATAGATATTTATTTCGATGTTACTTTGTCTAATTGAAATAATGTAAAAAATCGAGTACTCCTATGTATTTAAATATAGATTATTCGATGGTTAATGGTTCTTGACGATGAAAGAAGAAAAGCTGTTCTAACTACACTGTTTTGTAATTCATGGATATGAAGTTTAGCCAAGGGAGAAAAAGCAAAAATTCCGTATGTCAAAGCTATCCTCTAGAACTTCTTCGCTATTTCAAGTTTACTATCAATATATATCACGAACATATTTTATATATCGTACTTCAGGATTTGAATATCACTGAAGTAAGATGAAGTATTTCGGCTTTATTATCAGACAGACTTTTATAAAATGAATTCAAACTAATATATTCGTGACATACGTTGATAGTAGATTTGAAATAGTAAAAACATTCTAGAAAATAGATTTAATATGTCCTTGAAGTACGAAATTTTCGCTGCTTTCTCCTTGAATTTACTGAAGACTGATAGTAATTTCTTTAGAGAAGATTGAATACTTCAGCAGATCGATGTACAGAACCTCATATTCATGAATTACATAAGAGTGGGGTCAGGATCACTGGTCATCAAATAATCTGGACTTAAATACATTGAACTATTCGATTTTTGTACATTCTCTCGATTAGAAAACGTAACATCGAAAGAAATACCTATGAAAGAACTGAAGTATACAATCAAAAAATAAGAAGTGACAAAATATTTTATTAGCAAAATTATTCGTTTGAAGCGCGTGTCTGAACAAATAAATATCATAAAAAATACTGAGATTTTCATTTTCTTAGAGACACTTGATAGTATTGTGTATCTGTCCGATATGTTGAAGATGTGTAAATTTAAATATATTAAATATAATTTGTATCATAGATGTATTAAACCTAATCACGGTAAAGTAGCTAATCAATTTGACGAAGAATTAGTTCAAGAACAATTACGTTATAACGGTATACTTGAAATATCTTATATACGAAATCAAGGTTGGCCTGTTCGTTTTACATTTGAAGAATTTTTAAAACGGTTTGTTTGAATTTGTTTTTTTTTTCTATATTAATTTAATGAATTGTTTATTTATTTATTTATATTAGATATAAATTTATTTCTTATCCAGAAAATAGTCCAATAAGAATTAATGCAATAACATGTGAAAAAATTCTTAAACAATTATCATTTACTGATTATGTTATTGGAAAATCTAAAGTAATTCTTTTTATTTTTAATTTGTTGATTTTATTTAATAAAATTCTTTATTATTTTAGATCTTTTTAAAATTAGAACATTTAGAAATTTTAAATCAACATTACGAACAGTTTATAAAAAATATAATAATATGTCAAAAAGTTATTAAAGGTTTTCTTATACGACGAAATCTTTTACGTAAAGCTAAACAAAATGCAAATGAACGTCATATTTTTCTAAATCAAATACATTCTAACGGAAAAAAAACACTGGAGAAACTTGTATCATTACCAAAAGTATATTTTGTTTACTTTTTTTCTCTCCTTATTTATATTAAAGAGAAATAATTCTATTCAAAGGTCTCTACTAAGAGCATTCAACAAACATCATCAAAAACTGATGATAATGGACGTTTAGGTCATTTTATAAAAAAACGAACAAAACATCATAAAAAATCAACACAATCACCTGCCATTGTTGATGAAACAATTCCAATGAATGAACAAGAACATAATGAAATGTTAAAAGTAGCAAAAGTAAGCCTATAAATATTATAGACACCAGCTAGGGAATATCTCCAGCGAAATTCAATCTTGGAAAATTTTCGTTTTTCCCTTCCGGCAAAACTAAACGATTGTATGACTCACCAATACCTATAATAAGGATCAACCCTTCCCGAAATGCTATGAATCTTAACTTCTTCGTAGTCGCTCCTCTTGGTGATTTCGAGACATCCTGGAACCAGCAAGTTTAACCAATTGAAAGATAAATAATTCGACTACAAAACTATGTCGAATTCAATTGGTCAATCAGTTTTGAAAACAAGATTTTTAAGATATTTCCTATTGAATTAAGAGTTGCAATATAACTATTCGATAGAAAAAAAAACACTGTTCTCTTTTGATCTACACAAGACTAATACATTCTGTTCGAAAGCTATAGAGGATTTTTCAGAGACTCCTAAACAGAGTTACCATCTCTTCCGCTTTTTCGAATAAAAGACTTTCATTTGGTTATTCACAATTCGACATAGGAAAAAACTGTTATTATTGTGATCACTGAGGTAACTATAGTCTGTCATCACAGTTATTAGTCAATCTGTTAACTTACTAGAGCAACATTAAATTTTTTGCTATGAACGAGAGACTACTTTCAACGTATATTGATGAAGTAAAAACACCATTCTACATTCAACTAATAGCTAACTCTGCCGATCCATTCGTTTTTCTCTGTTCTATTGATACAGAGAAAAGGGCACAAATCCGAAAATTTAAACTACTTTTTTGTAACAAATGCATAACGAGATAATAACTGAGAATGAAAACAATGATGAAAATCGAAAACAGCAACAATAATGCTACAATCAGATGAACATAAATCTGTAGAAATCACAAAGGATACTTGTGGGTCCAAGAATTATTTTCATCCACATCAACATTTACATCATAAAACTATACAAAATTCAAAAAGTCAGCAAAAATAGGTCGTGTGAAGTGAGCCAAACATGCTTACCAGAAAATTGTGGTTCACTTTATATAGGGAAAATTGATCAATCAAAATGCGAGCCGTTACTTTACCGTCATCCAACCGTTTTCCCAAAACAGAACAATAATACTCACAACCCGGAAGTGTCATTCCCAACACAGAACAAACGTACTCATCTACCCGGAAGTGTTATTCCCATAACAGAACAAAAGTACTCACTACCAGGAAGTGCTTTTGTTCTGTTATGGGAATGACACTTCCAGGTAGTGAGTACTTTTGTTCGGCTTTGGAAATAGTACTTCCTGGTTGTAAGTATCATTGTTGTGTTTTAGTAATAGCA